AAAGGTCATGTTGCCAGTTCCGAAAAGTTGATTTTTTTCCGTTAATATAAAACTAAAAGACTAAAACACCCCTCCCTAGTGCGTGGACTATTAGGAAAATTATTATGATCAGCCCCCACTCAGTTTTTTACATATATTATTTAACTTAATTCCCAAGTTTGCGCAAAATATCTAACTAGTCTTCCTCCCAGGCTTCCTACACCCTTCCATCTAATTGCACAAAGGCTCCTCCTCCGCCGCCGCACAATGTTTTATTTTAGCATATGTGTATTCGATATTATTCTGCTTATCATAATAGTTTAATTTATTTATGTTGATATGTTATATATGATTATCTGATTCCTCTATCGGATTGTTATTAGATTAAATCCAAATACCAAAATTATGCTTATCTATGTTATTAATATTAAACGAATAATTGAAGAAGAAGTGTTTTATATAAAGTAAAACATCAAACCAAGCCAAGTCAAGCCCTAAAACCAAAAATATGACTTATTAGAAAATCAGGAATTGAAAACTAACTAAGGAAATAGGTTTTGAATTTTCACTTAAATTCTCTTACCAATTTATTTATTCAATTAGATTCTATTAATTAATTTTTATATTATTCAGTAGGAACAACTTGAATTCATCTAACAAAGGCCCTTTTCCGATTGTATTGTCTAGCTATTTAAATTCTATTAATTACCTATTTTCCATATTAGTGCATATTCATATAATATTGAATTCTTAAATTCTATTAATTTATGTTAGATTATATTATTAATTTTACAATATTATAAGTTTTGATATAAATCATAAAAACCTCCCATGAGTTCAATAATCCATTATTTAGGCTTCCGTGCCTATTCAAGTTATTTATTCTCCATGTGTTTTATTTAATACCTTTTCTTATCAAAGATCCTTCTTCCGATAGTATAATTTAAAATTATTATCAATTCTAGGGAATAATTCTGCTCTTAGTAAGCACTTAAGTTCATTATATAAATCATAACTTGTGTAATTAAGGAAAAATAAATCTAATTTGCGATAATATTGGAAAAGCAGATTAAGCTTACATCAATAATATCCCCTTAGTTTATAAGATTTGTTACACATAGTACTTATAATATTTAATAACTCAATATACTCACTTCCTGATCAAAATATCTCCCCACTACCATCCCTACGCTACACGGCAATACATGAAACGAACATCAACCACCAGATTTTAAGATGTTTAGAAATAAGAACTTAGTGCTTGGATGGATTCCTTGAACTTTGCCACAACTCTTGAAATACCTTTAACTTCTAAAGAAAATAAACTATGTACGAAAGACTAAAGAAAGAGAGATATTATGAGATGAAAGATGAGGATAGATGGGCAAATGAATTTGGGATCCTTCTTCTCTTTATATAGACTTCTTCGCGACTTCCGAGAAATTCTAACATTGTTTAGAATTAGTAAATTCCACCCTTTGTTTAGGGAAATAAAGTTCTCATTTAGCCTTAATTTTCTCTCAAACGTTGTCTACTTCCATGTGCAATAAAGATTTGAGAACTTTTGATTTGAATTTTTTGGGGGGCGGAAAAAAAAAACCAACATGTCAAGAAACCGTCACTCCAACGGTCCTGACGTTTCCCCATGGCACAAACTGCACTAAGCGACCATGCCGCTTTTTCGGCACAATTCCTCTTGACCCTTTCACACCCTCATGTACTTTGGTATTTAGACGGGGCCGTGCTTGGACGCACGGTCTTGGTGGCGCGCCAGGGGGGTCTGGGGTCTTTGGTTTTGATTTTTCCTTTTGTGGTTTTTTACATCGGTTTGTGTTCTGATTGGTCACTTGGGTTCTAGTGAGTGTGTGTCTCTCAAATTATTTGTTTGCGTGTCATTGTTGTTCTCTTTTTCTGTGCAATAAACCCTACATAATTCCTTAAGTTCTATATGTGAATTATGATTCAAGTGTGATTAGCTTTTATATATATAAAAACTATTTTAAGATATAGATGCGCATGTAAGAGAGGATAGAGAAGGACTAGAAGTTGAAGGGGTAGAGATAAATTACCTTATAAAACTTTAATAAATTATATTATCTATTTAAAATTACTATAAAATAACACTGTATCACATTTGAAGAAACTCTGAAAAAAAAAAGATAAAAATTTAACTTGTAATTTAATTTGATTTGGTCCGGGTTCAATTCATTAAGAAATTTGAAAAAAAATAATATAAGATGATTTTGAGGGGATGAGGTCGGGTATTTTTTGATTTAAAATCAAATTGGATTCTGATTATGGCCTCGTGGGGACCCAACCAATTTATGACAGGGAAACAGGACAATTTTACCACTATTTGATTTTGAAAAATTAAATTAAGATAAAAACTAAATAAAGTAATTAAAAATACTAAAAACTTTAATAAAAATTACATTAAAAATACTATAAAAATAACACTTATCACATTTGAAGACTCTGAAAAAAAAAAGATAAAAATTTAACTGTATTAATTTGATTTGATCCGGTTCAATTCAAAGAAATTTGAAAAAAAAAAAAATGATTTGAGATGATTCAATTTGATTTAAATCAAATTGACTGAATGCTCGCCCAACAATTTATTGACAGGGAAATCAGACATTTACCCTTTGTTTGGAAAAGAAAGGAAGGAAAATATTGGAAGAAGAAAAATATGGAGGAAAATAATGAGCAATTGTCAATTTTGTTTCCATAGTTATTTTCCACCTTGTGTTTGAATACAATAAAATAAATAAAATAGATTTATTTTCTTTTATTTGGAAAATGTAAAATTATAGAGGAAAGAATATATTATAATTGAAAATTGACATTATATCCTTATTAAATAATGGGTTATGTTAGAAAACGTTAAAATTTATTAATTAATTGAGACATTTAGGTATCTAATAAAAATGAGTGAAATTCTAACTTTTTTTCTATTATTTGTTCTCCAGATTGGAGAGATTCAAAATATATGAGCCGGACAAGGAAAAATATATTTCCCTCCATATTTTCATAGTTATTTTCCTTCCTTCCAAAAAATACTATCATCGAAACAAAGGGTTACTATGGAGTAAGAAAAAAGCTGTTCCCTCACCCCTCTAAATTATGAATGAGTATTCAATCAAACAAAGATAAACATATGCTTTTATTTTTTAAGAAAGTATTTCATGTTAGAACATATATTTTTATTCAATAAATTTCATTTGCAAATTTATGTACACAATAAAAAATTCTGCATTTGTTTAACTTTTTAATTTTGAAATTAAATTTTCCATCTTTAATCCGTCAGTATATTAAAATAACTATTTTTTTAAACATTAAATCACTAATTAGTCGATAATTATCAATGGAAATCTTATTTATCACTAAAAAGCTAAATTTCTTATTACGATAAATGCATATAGGGCCTATAATAAAATTAGGTTGAAATCAAATTCTTCCTGCAATACTCAAAAAAAGAAATCTACAATAATTTTTGTATTAAAATATTTGCATTTTTTTTTTTAATAAAAGGAGGGTAGAAATGCCCACTAAACGACAGCTAATGTAGGACAAATAGCACCAACTGAATCTGCATTAAGCATCTGATGAAGACCAGAAGGAGGAACGGCAGGGATAGAGGGAGCAATGGGCCAAGGAGGACAATGGGCTTCACTAAAATTTTTTTAAAAAATTAAGATATCCAATTTTTTTAGCAAAATTTATAAACTAGCCCCTGAACTTATAGAGTTTTACTCATTGTGTCCTTTAACTTATAGGGTTTCACTAAAATTCACTCAATTAATGTTATTATAAAACCTATGTTACTATTGAATGGTACAATTAAGAGAGATAGAGCTTTGACTTGAGTAAAACGTTAAAAGTTATCTTAAACCTGATTGCGGAACAAGTTTTTAGTTGAAAATCTTTTTATAATTAAGGGTCATTGAATTTTATCATATTAGCAACCAAAAACTTAAAGATAAATACAACATTTTTTTTTGTTTCTTTTTTTTAAAGATGAATACAACATCATACATATATAGCTAGAAGCATGTATAAAATTAAAATTATACTTTTTTCACAAGATTAACAGTGAAAAGGATTTTTTTTTTTTTTTTTTTTTTTTTTTGGAAATGGTGTCTATGGGGGCGAAGTTAGCAACCCAAAAACTTAAAGATTAAATTATACATTTCTTTTTTTGTTTCTTTTTTGTTTAGAGACGGGATGAGAGTAGCAAGCAGTGGGGCTAGGGGGAGGGGGGGTTGATAGGCTAGAGAGGGAGTGGTAGTAAAAGAGATTGAGAGTTATAGACTGTCTTGTCACAAGGATTGAAGCAGTGAGAGAAGAGGAGTGGGGGGGGGGGTGTGTTGTTTTTGACAGAGAGAAAGGAGAGTGCGTTGGGTTCAGAGGGATGAGCGGGTGAAAGGGTTTTGGGTAAGGGGATAGGTCTACCGAAGGTTGATTCGTTCAGAAGGGAAGGTAGAGGACGAGTTTTTTTTTTTTTTTTTTTTTTTTACAGAAAGACCTCTTGGTTCAAGGGATACTAAATTTAAGGATATTACAATTGATTCTTCAAAATAGAGACACAGAGTAATTAATTTGACAATACTTCAAGAACTTATTAATAATTTACCTAAATTTATTTTTTTTTTTTATCCCAATAGATAGACACACTTTTTATTTCATAAGAATTAAGAGAAATTAGTTATTTTAGTTAAAAATATAAATTTGCACGCCCTTACTTTACTATTTACATCAACTAAAATTAATTTAATGTTTAAAGTTGATTAATATGCATTGAATACCCATATTTTTTATTGTCAACAAATAATAACATTGAAAAATAAAATGTAATTGATAAATAAAATATATTTTTTTAATATATAACATTAAATATGGATGTAATAGAGATTTAACATGATTAGTAATTTATTAAAATGGTCAGCAGGCCATAATTTGAGACAAATGAAAAAAACAAAGTGTATCAATCGGAGGAGACAGATGATTTTTTTTTTCCGGTACAGAAAAATGATTTTCATCTTTAAAATAAAATTTATGATTAAGTTTCACTAAGGTGATCTATGTAAATTTTTCTTGCAAAAGTCTTATGGATAAGCATGTCCAACGTTTGGCTGGAGGATCCATTTTCATTTTCCAGAGCTCCCTTTGCCATCGCTGCAACTTCTCTCATCTTCTCCCTAACTTTCTTTCCCATCTCTCCCTCCATTAGCTCCTTAACCATTTTCACCAATCCTTCCCTTGTTACAAACTCTCTTACTGATCCATCACACGTCTCAACTCTCAACCCTACCTTAATTTCCTCCACAACCATTCTTGCATTTAAAGGTTGTTCAGCTATCATAGGCCATGCGAGAATTGGCACTCCTGCACATATACTCTCCAATACAGAATTCCATCCACAATGACTCAAAAACCCTTCAACACTCTTGTGTTTCAATATCTCCCTTTGATCAACCCATTCTTTTACTATGATTCCTCTTTCCTTAATTCTTTCTTCAAATCCGTCTTCTAATTGAGCTTCTTGAGTTTCTCTGATTACCCACAAAAAATTTACCTTAGATTCTTCTAATCCATTTGCTATTTCCGTTAGCTGCGCCGATGAAACTTTTGCTTGAGTACCAAATGCTATATATAAAACAGAGCGGCCTTGCTTCAACTTTTGATCTAGCCATTGAATCCAATAGCGTTTTTTGTCTGGTTGATGTCGGACCCTTGTGTCCGGCTCTGGCTCAGCCAGACACAAGGGACCAACGCACCAAATAGTGGGTTGACCAAGACTACTATTCAAATAGTCAATAAAAACTGGTTCGAGCTCATAGAAACTATTCATTATATAACCTTGACTGTTTGCTGCAGCTCCAAATGCTAATGTTACAAGCTCAAAGAAATCACCTTTTGGATTAGGTTCATAAAAGAAAGGCTCAAAATCAGATTTAGTTACCTTTAACCATGGAAATGGAGTTACTGTAATTAGGTCATGGACCGACTCAGGCCCAGAGAAAAGCTTATTATCATTAACAGCTTTGCCCATGCACAGAGTATTGAGGATAACTCTCTTGTACCAAGTCAAACTAGTTAGTTTCTGATATTTGATTTTGTTTAACTGTAAATAGTTTAGATATGATTTGGAGATTTTCTATATTTCAAATGTAATCTGTAAACTCTATAAATATGTATCTTGCTTCCTTGAATAATACAACATAGTTTTAGATATGATTTTGGAGATTTTTTCTATTTTCAAATGTTGAATCTGGTAAACTCTATAAATAGTGTATCGTTGTTTCCCTTGTAATAATTACAACAAAAATCATCTTACACAAGCAATTGATCCGTTTTTATGGTATCATGAAGCCCAAAATACTTCAAACGATTTTTTTTTCTTTAAGATTCCTACAATGGCTTTACAAACTCCTTCAAGTTGCTTTCTATCAACAATTCCTTGTTAAATATTTCCCGAAAATACTTCTGTTCTATACTCTATTTCAATGCTTGTCCACTTCAGCTTCCACTTATAATTTAACCCATTATTCCCCTTAACTATCCCTCATGGCTGTGTCTCAATTTTTATGCCCTTTTTTAATTTGGTCTTGACCTTCTTCACTTGGCTACATTTGTGATGCACTTCTGTTGCCATTGTTCCACCCTTCCATTCCTCACCATATTGGCGAAAACCGTTTCCGTTCAATCCCCTCACCAATGGCGAAACCGTTTCCGTCAATCCTGCTTATGCTCTTTGGTTTCGTCAAGATAATCTTCTTCTTCATGCTATTTTAGCTTCTGTTTCTGAATCACTGGTTACTCTTATTTCTTCGTCAAAAACATCAGCTGAGGCTTGGAATAAGCTAGCCTTACGCTTTGCGAATAAGTCCCGTTCTCGAGTCATGCATCTCAAAGAAAGACTCTCACAGCCTCATGGCACCAAATCTGTTTTTGATTACCTTCAATCTCTTAAATCCACTGCTGATGAGCTTGCTCTTATTGATAAGCCTTTATCTGATGATGATCTCACCATTCTCATTCTAAATGGTGTTGGATTCGAATTTCGAGAACTAACCACTGCCATTCGAGCACGGGAAACACCCATTGTTTTTGAAGAACTACATGAAAAACTCCTGGACTTTGAAAATGTTCTTAAAAAAGATAATTCCCCTGAAATTTCCATTCAAGCCAATGCTACAAGACGCAACTACCAGCCTCGAAATTCTTTTCAAAATAATGGCAACAATTTCAATCAATCTAGAGGACAATCCTCTCATTCTTCTCAACCACACAACAATGGAGAATTTCAAATTCAATGTCAGTACTGTGATCGGTTTGGTCGTTCGGCCAAAGATTGCTTCAAGATTAAAAAACGATCAACTCCAAATCCAACTGCTAATGCCACAATGACCTCGAATCCCAGCTCCTCCCCCTGGCTTCTTGGTTCTGCAGCTTCCCATCATGTCACAAGTGATCTTGGTAACTTGTCTGTTCATTCCGAATACACAGGCCTTGACGAAATACTTATTGGTGATGGCTCAGGTTTGAATATAACACACACAGGACAAACAAATCTTAATCACTCTTCTCTCTCCTTCAAATTGTCTGATGTTTTATATGTTCCTACCATGAAAAAAAATATAATCTTTGTTGCCCAATTTTGTATTTCCAACAATGTTTCCATTGAATTTTTTTCCTTTTCTTTTTAAGGTGAAGGATCTCAACACGGGGGTGCCTCTCATTTAAGGGAAGAATAAAGATGGCGTGTATGAGTGGCCAATGGCGGCTCGTTCACCGTTCACCACACCTACAGCTGCTGCTAGTGTTGTGGTCAACTGGCATCATCGTCTTGGTCACCCGTCTACCAAAGTTCGTCTACCAAAGTTCTGTCTCATTTGTCAAAAAATAATTCCTTTATTATCTCTTCTAGTAATTCATTTTGTAAGTCTTACTCTTGTAATAAAAGTCATCGATTACCTTTTGGGGAATCGTCGTTATCGTCCAAATCACCTTTAGATCTTGTGTATTGTGTATTCTGATGTCTGGGGTCCTGCCTCTATTAATTCAATTGATGGTTTTCATTTCTATGTTATTTTTGTAGACCATTATACTCGTTATACATGGTTATTTCCAATTAAACACAAATCTGATGTTTCGTCTCTCTTTCAAACATTTAAAGCTCAAGTTGAAAAACAATTTCAAAAATCTATTGTTCGTCTCTACATTCTAGCTCTCAAATCTTTTCTTGCCGCCCATGGTATACAACATTTACTTACTCCTCATACGCCCATGGTATACAACATTTACTTACTCCTCCTCATACGCCACAACATAATGGCATTTCTGAAAGGAAACATAGGCACTTAGTTGAGACTGGTCTCACTTTACTACAAACAGCTTCGCTTCTTGTTCACTTTTGGTCCTATGTTTTTCAAACATCTTGTTACTTAATTAATCGTCTACCTACACCAGTACCCTCTATGTCTTCTCCTTATGAGAAACTCTTTCAAACTTCCCCAAATTATTTAAAAATACGGGTCTTTGGTTGTCTTTGCTTTCCTTGGCTACGGCCATATACGCGTCATAAATTACAACAAAAGTCGTTTCCGTGTATCTTTTTAGGTTATTCTTCTACTCAAAGTGCCTATCTTTGCTATGATTTTAAAACTGGAAGAACATACGTTTCTAGACATGTGAATTTTGAAGAGTCCATCTTTCCTTATATCTCTCATAATTTAAGTCTCCCACGTGTTGCTAACTCTCTTTTATCATGTTCTAGTTAACCACGACACTACATATTTACAACAGGTTGGTGAATTGGTGGATTCGCCGTCGACTACTCAGGTACAACTATCATCTCCTTCTTCTTTGACTGATGGGCAATCCCACCTTCCACCTAGCTCTTCTACTCTATCTCCACCTTCACCACACCCGTTATCTCCATTACAAACTTTACCCCTAGCCAGTCCTACTCCATCTCCATTAACGTCACCACCAGAAGTAACCTCTCCACACCAAACTCCAACAAATTCTGCTTCTCCCTCACCTGAGCCAGTTTTACCCACTCGTGTACATTCTATGACGACACGGTCTATGAACAACATTTTTCGACCAAAGCAACTTCACTCTTCTGTTAAACATCCACCACCTTCGTTTGTTGAGCCAACTTGTGTCACTCAAGCTCTAACAGATAAAAATTGGAGAGTTGCTTTATCTACTGAATTTAATGCTTTGTTACAGAATCGCACATGGAGTCTTATTCCTTTACCTACAGGTAAGAATGTTGTTGGATGCAAGTGGGTCTTCCGTATCAAACGGAATCCCGATGGCAGTCTTGCTCGACATAAAGCGAGACTAGTCGCGAAAGGATTTCAACAACGTCCAAGCCAAGATTTTATTGACACATTCAGTCCTGTTGTCAAACCGGTTACTATTCGTGTTGTCTTGACTATTGCTTTGACCAATGGATGGAACTTGCAACAATTAGATGTCAATATGCGTTCCTTCATGGACCGCTTACTGAAGAGGTATACATGGTTCAACCTCTTGGTTTTGTTGATCAGACTCATTCCTCCTTTGTTTGTAAACTGCACAAGTCGATATATGGGTTGAAGCAAGCACCAAGGGTATGGTATAGCTCTTTCGCAGTTTTTATGATCCTTTGGGTTCAAAAATTCCAAAGCAGATGCTTCGCTTTTCATTTATTCGGATGCAGGTTCTGTGATATATTTTCTTGTTTTTGTGGATGACCTTATTGTTACTGGCAATAATAATCAACTTATTTCGGATTTCTTGTTGAGTTTGGCCAATAAATTTTCTATCAAAGATCCACAACAATTGCATTATTTCCTTGGCATCTCTGTTAATCAGTTTAATGGTGGACTTCTGTTATCTCAGCATCAATATATCTTTGATTTGCTCAAGCGATGTCGAATGTCGAATGGAAGATGCAAAATCTATTGGCTCTCCTATAAGTTCAGTGACTGCTCTTCGTCTCAATGATGGCAGTACTGCAGTTGATCTGAAACAATATCGCAGTGTAATTGGATCTTTGCAATATCTTTCCTTCACCCGACCGATATTTGTTTTGTTGTCAATAGGCTATCTCAGTTCATGCATCAGCCCACTGAACTACATTGGCAAGCACTGAAACGAGTTCTCCGGTACCTCAAAGGTACTGCTTATCATGATTTACATCTTCGTCCTTGTAATAAGTTTTCAATTACAGCTTTCTCAGATGCTGATTGGGGGGGGGGGGTGATAAAGACACTTTGCTTTCTACAAGTGCATGTGTTATTTTTCTAGGTACTGCACCAGTGTCTTGGCATTCAAAACAACAGCGGACTGTTGCTCGGTCTTCCACAGAAGCCGAGTATCGCTCAGTAGCAGCCACAATGTTTGAGATTTCATGGCTTCAAAGTTTGCTTTAAGAACTCCAGCCTACAGTTATTTATAAGCCATTAATCTTGTGTGATAATATTGGGGCTACATACTTCTTTGCCAATCCTGTTTTCCATTCTCGCATGAAGCATTTATCTCTTGATTATCATTTTGTCCGTGAGAAGGTAACTTCTGGTCAACTTATTGTTCAACATATCTCTAGTCAGGATCAGCTTGCTGATTTGCTTACTTTTTTTTGGTTTTTCCGTGAGGAAGGTATAACTTCTGGTCAACTTTGTTGTTTCAAACATATGCCTCTAGTCAGGATCGCTTGCTGATTGCTTACTAAGCCGCAGTCCAAATCGATTACGTGTTTTTCGACCCAAGATTGGCATCTTTGATGGAAGCTCAATCTTGCGGGGGTGTATTGGAGGATAACTTCTCTTGTACCAAGTCAAACTAGTTAGTTTCTGATATTTGATTTTGTTTAACTGTAAATTAGTTTAGATTATGATTTGGAGATTTTCTATATTTCAATGTAATTTAAACTCCATATAAATTATGTATCTTGCTTCCTAGTTTCTGATATTTGATTTTGTTTAACTGTAAATAGTTTAGATATGATTTGGAGATTTTCTATATTTCAAATGTAATCTGTAAACTCTATAAATATGTATCTTGCTTCCTTGAATAATACAACAAAAACATTTACACAAGCAATCTGATCCTTTTACAGAGAATGGTTTGACATGCCAAAAAACACTAATCTTGGAAAACCAAATTTTATAGCAGACTCTAGAGTCCACCATAAGAATCCATCAGAGACCATGAAGTTTATAAATGGAAGATTCCTTAGTGCACGTTCAAATTCCGGTTGCATGAGCTTTGTGGAGAGAGCAAATGAAGGGAACAGTTCCGTTGAAGGAAGCTGATCGGTGCTTTCGATGCCGGGAGACATTTCAGAGCCGGTATTTTTAGGGAAAGATAGGTCAATAATGGAGGCAGTGGTGTTGGAGAGAGATTTAGCTATGAAGTAATGGTTTGCCGGAGTAGTAAAGATGGTAACTTTAACATGGCGATTAAGAAGAAGACGAGCTAAGTATAGAAGAGGAATTGTATGGCCTTTTGCCATGAATGGAAAGAGTACTACGTGATACTTTGAATCACCAGGTAAAGAATCCATTTCTGTTTCCATTTGATCTATGGAAACGATACGTATGACTAATGTAGGTTGATTACTTATAAAGGAAGATAGATTATTTATAGGAAATGATTTAGATTCTACCAATTGATAATTTTTACTTGAAAATTTTTTACTACGATGAAAGGGCAATTTTGATGACAAAACACTAACATTTTTTAAAAATATATATTGTTTCGTTGGCTTGGTGTATATGACCACCCATACACCGGGCGTAGGTAAGAAATTTTTTTTTTTTGATATGTTTGTTATTTTTTCAATTTGATTAACATTGTTATTTAATTACTATTAAAGGGTGAAATAAGATTGCAAAAGTTTCTTTTTTCTTAACGGAAGATCTCAAGTTCAAGTCATAAACTTATTTAGCGTGAATCTAGATTCATTAGATCCGTGGAGTTTAAATACTAGATTTTTTTTATAAAAAAAAAAACATTGTATTAATTATTAATTATTTCATTATCAATCTCACGACCAAAAAACATTAATGTCGTGACCCGTTGAAATTTGAGAGCATATTTTTATAACTAGAGAAAGCTTACTTCTTGTTTCTATCTTTTTGTAATTTTGTACATGTTATATTAACATGAGTTTCTGCCTAGCTGCCATATAATACTGATATATGGCAGCAAATTGGTAGATTTTTTGAGCTTCTTTGACCAATCTTGCTTTTAATCATAACAAGGTACAAATTAATTAAATGAAAAATGGATCTTATTAATTTGGACAGACAACATAAATCGACAACTAACTCCCTTAGATTAAAAATTACATTTGTCTCGATATAAATATATTAATAATAATTGCATTGTTCTTAATATAAGTTGGTGTTGACTTACTTAGAAACGTGTATGAGTTTATTTACGGAGAGTATCAATGAAAAAAACACTTTACTGAAACGAGAATTTTTTGGACCATTCACTGAAAAAAAAATAAAATAAAGATAAATTTAAAAAATTTATTTTTAATTAGTTTAGTTAATTGATGAGCCTGTATACATCGATTTAAGCAAATCTAATCTATATAATTATAAATCTTCCAGTAAAGATTGCCAAATTAAAATTTGCCTACAAACTTTGACTCAATACTACTAAAGTTATTTTTAAAATTGAAAATTTTTGAGTTGAAATAGAGTCAAATATTTTTTTTCGTCTCGGATTTTATAAAATTACTCAACTCGTCCATATATAGTTATATATTAGATATTTAATTTTTAAAATTTGATTCGGTCACCTTAAATAGTGATTCCATCCGAAATCTGATTCTTTTTTCGTTAAATAAAGGTAAAAAGCGAAAAATACCCTAAAGCTAAGAGGCAAAACTCTCTAATAGTCTGACTACTTTAAGCATTGAAACTCTATGTCTCCAACAATATCACTTGCTGTGAAACCTTATCTCCACCAACAATAAAAAGAAAACGGGTAAAATCACATCAACAAAGAAAGATTGAACACAGTTGCCTTTTCTCTACTATTTAGATTTTATTTCAGCAAAATCTTGTTCCCTTAGTATTCCTCAAACTCAACTTCTCATTCTCCACCAAGAAGAGCAACAACAACCCAAGAATACTATTATCCACCACCGCCACCACCTCCGGCACGGCATAGAACGACTCCATTTTCCACATCTTTAGCATCAAATAGAGAATCGAGGAAGATTAATGGGGAAAGACGAAAAGGAAATGAGGGGGAAATAGAAAAGTAGCTCATAAACGAAGAATACAAAATATGAAAAAAGAAACTCATTTTCTTTGCAATCTGGTTATCACCCATGCCTTCAATGGCCCTTACAGTTAGTAGTTACCGGACTGTGAGCAGCCTCTTGGCAAGAATTACTATGACCAGGGATGATTCTTGGTACTCACACCTTCGAAAATGAGCTCAACTATCTCACGCTCGCCCAGGTCTAGCTTTCCCTTGATGACGCCGAGAATGATGCTCGCCACTACGAAGATGATCGCTCTAATTTTACAGGATTACATCTTTGTTCATTGTGTGCCTTTTCTTCTTCTTCATTATCCTTTTTTTTTTTCTTTCAATTTTTTATCCTTTCTGGAAAGCCTAATCCTCAGAATCATGGTGATTGCCTCACGATGGACTCCAAGCGTCTCATATCGTTAAGTGAGAGGACAAATATCAAAGAAAAAAACGAAAAAGAATAAATATTTAATCTTTATAGAGGGTAATTTCGTATCTCATAGGGGCAACATTTGTCTTTTAAAAATATTTCTCTCTCATCGCTCTTGCTTTTTACCCTTATTGAAGGGAATGGAAAAAAAAAAGCCTGATTTTAGACGAAAAGATTATTTAATATGAGGGAATCAACCTTGAGACTAAATATATAATATATGAAAATATAATGATGAGTTGAACAATTTTGTAAAACTTTATGGAAAAAAAACATATTTTTCCAAAAATTTAAACCAATTTTAATATCCCCAATAGGTAGGGGTGAGCAAATAGCTGATATAATCGAAAATCTAAACCAGAGCAAGTAATTATGGTTTGATTTAGTTGCCAATAGATTAGTTTTGATTTTGATAGTTTAGTTATAAATATTAATTTGGTTTTTCAGTTATGGTGCTTAATCCAAATTAACCAGTTTAGTACTCAAGATATTTTTTTTTTTATCTTAGTTTTTTTTTTTGTCAAATCATTGTGTTTTTTACCCCATATTAAAATAAAACTAAGACTGCAAATTATATTTATATAGTTTTTGTGACAGGTGACAACAATATGATATAACTTTTGACATTACTGACGAAGAAAGTCATGCTTAATTGATTACTAACTATAATTTTATAATTAAAATTTTAATGAATGCTTATTTTAATTTTACTTGGATAATTGGATTTAGATGTGACTATTTTTGTATTTATTTGGACACTTGTGACTTGTTGGATTAATTAATTAATTTTATTATTTATTTTTGAGATTACTGACAAAGAAAGTCATGCTTAATTGGTTATTGACTGTAATTTTATAATTAAAATTTTAATGAATGCTTATTTTAATTTTACTTGGATAATTGGATTTAATTTTATAATTAAAATTTTAATGAATGCTTATTTTAATTTTACTTGGATAATTGGATTTAGATGTGACTATTTTTGTATTTATTTGGACACTTGTGACTTGTTGGATTAATTAATTAATTTTATTATTTATTTTTTTATTCTATACAATTGTCTATAAATTTATAAGCACATGTATATAGTTGCTTTAAGAGTGTAAACTACAAATCTGGAGGCAGGAAAATATATATTGAAAAATTTTAGATTTGAATATTTTCTTGTAATCGGTTTGAATTAACCAACTGAAAATACTAATCCGATTATACAGACGGTTGCAATTTTTTATAATAAAATCTCATATTATTGAGTTTGATTATTTTCAATTTTATATTAAATATGATTTGAATTGGATAATGAATTTATAAAATTCGACTACATTCAAATTGAGTTATTTGATTTAGTTCGGTTCGGACATCCCTACCGATAGGCAATAGAGGTCTACCTTGGGCCCATGGCAAGTTTTCCTCACGCTTCTCAAAGATGAAAAATATCAATGAGTGGCCCATTACATTAACTGGCTCGGATAAGCCCACATTAATTCAAGGTTTATCTTAAATGAGTTATTATGCAATATGAGGTAAGTTTTTCTTTTCTTTTTTTCCTAATATATAAAAATAAATATTTAATTCAACTAGAAATCATAATTTTTTTAAAAGAAGGAATCTTAAATTGTTAATATCTTTATAAAATAAAAAATATTAACTCAATTAGGAACCTTCATATTAAAAAAACTATTCAAAAACAGATATTTTAATATGAGTAGAAAAATTAGGAATATTCCTAATAATTATAACAATTAAGAAATATTTTTGCAAAACAAAAAAAAAAGGATATAATGTTAACTCAAAGGAATCATAACATAAAAAAGAAAAAAAATTGAATTTAAAATCCTAATTTTAGAAAAAAATAAATTGGATTTTGAGTGATATTGTGCGATATTGTAATAATATATTTTTAAATGTAATAATATCCTTTTTATTCCTAAGCTACCCTTATAGTGTGATATTGTGCGATCCAATTCTTGATTTTGATTAACATAAAACTAATAATCCCATTTGCATTAGAATTTTTTAACCAATGAAATATTGGCCATCATCAGATTTGGCAAGACATGTTTCAATAAAATCAAGTGCAGCACTTGAGGGTCATTCATGGCTATCAATCTACCATTGCTTTTTAAATCAAATACTATTATGTGCATCTTCCCTTTCTCCATTTTCGTAACTTGTTTTAATTTTTCTATTAAGCAGAAAAGCTAGAACAAAAAGATTTGAATTTTATGGAAAAAATATTTTAAATAAAATTCAGATTCCCCATACAAATTTTGGTTCCCATGATTCTCAAGTCCACAACAAAAATTCTCAAATTCCTTTTCCGTTCCAAACCCATCAGCTAATCTACCAACCATCCATGGCCTCATTTGCAAAACCAGCACATAACTGTCACCACAAAACCACTCTAACTTACTCCACCCAACGACCAGCACTCTTCTCTCTCTTATTCTCACTCTTAAAACATTTCTATCTTCAACAATCAGGCGATCTAGTTCCTATAATTCTAATAGTAGTTGTTAGGTTGAGGAGTATTGCAAGGGAAAAGACAACCACTCAATATTGGCGATGCCTCAGAATTCGCTATCTCCTCTCAAGCTTTGCATCCCTTTTTAATTTCCAGACTCATCTTATCGCCCCCTCCCCCTTGAAGTCGATTCAGCCCGTCTCGATCTCTCCAAAATAGAGGAGAGATATCTTCCATGGCAGTTGAAGCTAGAGGGTTTGGTTCAGTAGCAGAGAACTAGATTTGATAATTGGTAGTGGTTTTGATTTTAGAGATCCGTGAGTATGGAGGAGATGAGGAACATAAGGAGGGCAACTTGAGAAGTTACTTATATTCTTCCGACTTATTTTTTATTTTGTTTTATTTTTAACGATGAATTTGAGTTAAAATGAATGGAAGGACATATTTATAAGACGGAAGGATAAGTTGGAGACTTCAAAGCTATTTGTTAATAGTAGAAAGATGTCAGTGTTAATTTGACTATAATTTAGGGACATAAAAATATTTTATTCATTGTAAAAATATTTTATTCATTGTAGAATGAAGAAGTGATAATTATAAACTTGATTCATGAGACTCTATGCATATATCAATATGATCATTTTCTAAGTATCATTTTTTTATTTTATTTTTTTATGGACATTAGTGAAAATAATAAATTAGATATTTGAATTTTTAAAAATGATTATTTATTACTACCTCTGTTTCATATTACTCGTCACATTTGGAATTTCACGTTCTTTAAAGAAATTATTAAATGTGACTAAGTTACACTAAATTATCGAGTAAATTGACTATATTATTCTTAATTTAATATTAATTCTCTAAAAAAACTATTAAATTGAGGTAATAATTACTAGTCATATACAAATGATGAATATGAAAAAATAAATTTATTACTTTTTGAAACCACAAATGTGACAAGTATTTTAGAATAAGTTATTTTTTCAAATATAAAAAGTATTATGAAACGGAGGTAATATAATAAAAATAGCTTGTTTATTTTAAGTTAAATTAAGCATTATAAATATCCATACGTGAAGCATTGGAAAACCAATAGATCTAAGAAAAGAAAAACCTTCTAATCAATAAGGAAACAAGCATGCTACATATAGAGTCAATTCTTGGAGTGCATCAAAATAATGAAAGCACAATTGAAAATTTTTTCCATGATGACTGAATTTTAAAAATTAAATGAGAAAAAATCAGTAGAATAATTAACATGAATACCAAACTCTAATCAATAAAGAAGCAAATCTGCAAATTCACTTATACCAACTGAGCGAAATCTTGGAACTCTATGCATAAGTATAATTAAACACAATCGAAAAATTTTTCATGTTTTCAGAACAAAATAAGTGATTTTTTTCTATTTCACTTAATTAATTCAATGGAATATGGCGAATTATTATTTTTACTATTATTTAATCCTTAAGCTATTACATTACAAAATAAATATTCACTGTCATAAAAAAAAAAAAAGAAAAATTCGGATAATTATACAACAATTAATGTTCCCAGAAAGAAAAATATCATAAAGGAAGCTCACATGTGGAATCAAGTGAATTGGTCTGGTTCAACTGAGTTACAACCAAATTGATCTGGTTGTCTGCATGTATTAGTTCCATTCCACCATTAGAATTTTCTTGGTTGCTTTCTTCTCCTTCATTCTGCCTCAACTCCTCCATTGATGGTTGCCCCTCTCTTAACTGATCAATACTCAAATCACTAAAATAATTACTATCTGTAGAAAGGCTCCCTCTAACATCAACACTGTCACTAAAATTACTACTTTCTTGCCTTCTTGAATCAGAAAAAGTGCTTGTTCTACAAATTGGGCAAATGGGTGTCCTCAAAAGCCAAGAATCTACACATTGAGAATGAAAACTATGGTTACATATAGGCAATAACCTACACTTATCACCAATCTTGAAATTATCCAAGCAAACAGCACAATCTATTGGGCTACTTCCTTTGCTATTTGTAAAATCATAGCTTGGAAGCTTCTGTAACTCTTCTTGAGACCTATTTCTTCTTTCGAGATCTTCTCTTTCATTACGAGAACTATTTCTAGAGCTTCTTCCAATAATAAAAGCATGAATTAGTACTAATAACCCAATCCCCAGAAATAATAGTATTACTGATATTACAATAGCCATAATTATAATCTGTACTGCAAGCTCAAGATCCTTATTGCTCATTACAATCTTTCTTGTGTAGATATTTCAAGATATGAAAGACATGATCTAGAGAAATGGGTTTTCTTCTTTTTTTTTTTTTGGTGGGTTTGAAGAAAGATTTGAAGATAACAATAGAAAGAAAATGGGATTCATGTGTATTTTATGAAAGAAGGTGATTAGTTAAAAAGGATATTTAGTGATTAAAATAGAAGGGTTTGGTTCACCTTTTGTGATGGAGTGGGTAAGAAAGAACCACAATTCCCACAAGGAGACAAAAATATAATTGCAATATTTACGAGTGTCCATGTTAGCACTCTCCAAAAAATTTTTAGCACTTCTCGTATTAAATTCATTATATAAATTTTTAGCATTCTCCGGTTAGATTGGGAGTGTATAGTTGGAGATTAGATTTCGAAAATTGTTAAGTTTTTTTCTTATTTTAATAATAATAATAAAATATTTATTGGCTGTTAAAAAAATCATCATACAAATTAACTATTTTATCCATTTATACTTTATTGGAATAACATTCAATTTGCATAAATTTATTGGTGGTATACAATTTATTGAAAATAAAACTTTTGGAATGTTTTTAATCAGAATTTTAAAATTGAAATTAATTTGGCTTATTTTTCAGTTGATCATCATGTGTGAGAAACATATAATTAAAAAAAGTAAGTGAAATCATTTTCTTTCAACTTATTCCAATAAAAAAATTAGCCCAATTAATTTTTTTAATTCAAAATCATATTCAAATCAATTCAAAGGCTCAACTTTGAGTAAATTGTACTGTGCTAAATCAAATTAAAAGAGTTAATTGAGATTTAATCTTATTTTATATTCTAAAAAGATTTTATAATACAGAATCTATTTTCAATCAGTAACTTAATAAATGCATTTTTTTCCAGCTTCAAAAATAAGTTCAATTGTCTTTTGATTGAAAATTTTAGTTAAAATTAATTTAGAAGTTCAACTTTGAATAGATTGTACATTGTGATCAAGTTGGAAGAGTAAATTAAGAATTATTTTCATTTTATATTTTAAAGAGATTTTATAATATTAAAATATAGATAGATAGATAGTTAAAGGTGAGTAGAGTTTAAAACAACATATTATAGACACACTTTATGTGAAATACTAACAAATCATTCCTTGCGAACGGAGAAATTTATATGGGAGTGCTTCCACCTTATAGCTTGGCGCGAGATGAATCAGGCTTAACTCAATTGGTTAGAGACACTTATAGTACAAACTAAAAAATTATTAATAAATGATGATTTTTATTAAGAATCTCACATCAACTAAATAATAAATCCACAAAGGACACGTAAAAATGATAAGCTAGCTAGTTAATCAGTTAGTGCTAATCTTTTAGCACGGTGGACGAGTTAGGTTATTTTAAGAATAGGTTGGAGTTTGTTTATAAAGGAGAAATTACTGAGTTTAGCATCTCTTCTACTCTTTCCTCTTTGTATTATGGGTTCTTAAAATAATGGCTATCACTCACTTATTGGATATATATAAAGCTTTAACGCCGGCCTGCATTTGTCAACTGTTGTTAAAAGAATCAGAAGGATAAACACCATTTTCATCATTTGCTAAAAAGGATAAAACAATTATTAAAAAAAATTTCTTTTTCAACATATCAAATAATAAAAATAAATGTCTATCAATGAAAATGATTTTTATTTAATAGAAAAATGACATGATTATGAAATGAATTATAAGTTTCCTTACATCATGTCAAATTTATAAAATACATTCTTAAAATTGTTAAGACACTAAATATTAGTGACCAACTTAGTTTTGGTAAAATTAATTGATTTAGTAATTATTAATTGTTTTAATAGCGTTAGTTTAATAAGCTTGTCTCTCAAACTACAAACACTAATATCTATTATATTAAAAAAAAAATTATAATTTTATCCCTGTAATTTGCTACAAATAATAACTTTGTCCTTGTATTCTTAAAAATACACTGCGATATCTCTAATATTTAATTCCAATACATTATTTTATCCTTCTATCCAAATTTATTCGTTGTAATGGAAGTCAATGCACAAAGTGTTAGTCGGATGAGAGAGAACATAATTTTGCCCCAAAACACCCTTAAGAGGTATTGTTCTAAGTATATTAGCAATCACAGCCACCTCCAACACCACCTTTCATGATCGTTTCGGCATCCAGGCTCTATAGCCGGAAGTGGTGAAGGGAAAATGATCAAACAAGGGTGGAGAACCGACTCGTGCTTGCCCCTAACGTTGGAACCGCCAGAAACAGAGTGAATCGCCGGAAATCAATGACCAAGAGCTGTCAAGGAAAACAGCTCCGATTCGCGTTAATGGAGGCTCTTTTCGCATGAGAGGAGGCCAGAAACTTGACCAGCAGCACAGGATGAGTCGACTGCCTCCTTCCTTTGTCAATTTGGTAGTCGGAATCAGGGAAGAGAGTGGCAGGATCACTCGACGGAGAGGGATAGAGAGAGAGCGAAAAATCTGTATTCTCTTTTCTTTTTATTTCTTAATTTCTTTTCGTTCTCTTTTATTTTAATTTTCTTCCAAATTGAAGAGTGAGAATGGGGTCAAATTTGGAGTGGACAAAGCGGAGGATTGGCTCAATGTTGAAGGAGGACCCGCAGCGCATTGGAGGTTTCTGATGATCAGAAAGGCTAGGAGACTGAGAGGAAGCGATGGTTGTTTTAGTGTGTGCTGAGGGTCAATATTGTCGTTTCCTATATTTTTAATGGTTAAAATGGGATATACCGGACGGAAAGATAAATTAATATAATGGGGCAAACATCAGAGGTTACTTTTAAAAATATAACGACAAAGTTATTATTAATAGCAAACTATAAAGATAAAATTATAATTTTTCTATATAAAAATATAATAAAGATAAATAGCAGAATTTAGATAAGATACCTACCCCATAATTATCTTTTCTTTTTTCCTTTCTATAAAAAATATATACACTGCTTTTTTAGAATGGACTATATTGCATTTTTATGATGATAATAGAATACATTACAAATTATTTACTGTATTTTCACATCTTCTGGAAAAAAAAAAACAAAAGAAATAGAAGGAAAGGTAATTATTCTGTTACATAAAAGCCGAAAAAAGAGTTGGTCTAAATGAAAAATAAAAGCACATGGCTCTTTAATCTTTAATTAATAGCCAATCGGGCAAAAAATTTTCAAAAGAAAAAAAGGTAGATGAGATCTTAAAACATGATTGAGACATCCAACCGGTAATTAAACAACTGGATCTAACTTCAAGCTTACATTACCCACCTTAATAAACTTACAAATCAAGTTTATTCTTTAATCACATTCTTTAATTTTGAACTGTTTGTTGTTAGATGCATTATAACTGGCCAAGAGATTTGTTTCACTGTATTAAGTATTAACATTGAATTTCAAGTAATTGCTCTGAAATAACTCAAATTTTGATTTCAAATAATCACTCTAAAATAATTCAATTTTTAGTAAAATATAAATTAGTTAGTGTTGTAGAAATGTTTTCTAGTCAAATTTTAAGTAAACAGACTGACATCCAAGGTAGTTTCGATGTTGGGTAACATATAATTGGTTTTTAAATTATCTTCAAATTAACAGTTAAATAACTATAACATTTTTAGTTTATGCGTTATCTCACTATTTAGTCCTCCTATTTAAAAAGTGAGCTTTTTCGGTCTAAAAATGAATATATTTCATCCAAAAAAATGTCTAATTAATAGTAAAAAAAAAAAATGCAGAATGACCTAATAGTTGAACAAAAACATAAATTAAAAATATCATAATTATTTCTCAAATACAGAAAGATTGAAATGTTAATTTAAATATAATTTAGAGACTTATTTATATTTACCATTTGACATTTTATAATTTGAGAAGTATCATTGGTTTAGCTAAAATTTCAAATCAATAGTGATGAAATTAACCTTTCATTAACATAAATGATTTTAAATTTTTCTTCTGCTTCTTACTATCATAAATTAAATTAAACAAAGAAAAAAAAAGGGAAAACCCAATTGGACATTATTGTTGTTTATAGCCATGTTTGATATGAATCTGAGTTGCTGAGTAATGTAACACAATTGAGATTAACAATAATACTAGTTACACTATCCTTTTATTAACAATAAAAAGGAATAAACAATAAACCATACTGCAGCAGCAGAATAAGAACAATAAAAAACTTCAGTTTTTTTGCCTTGGCTAAATGGGCAAGGCACAACAAACCAAGAAAAGGCATTGAAACAATTTTGCTCAAGTAAATTGCATAAATTCATAATTGCATCAAGTAATTGAAGGGCCAGTAACACATCTGCAAAGAATATTCCAACTCAGCTACGTGTTTAACCGCAATTCGGACATACTCTTTCTTCGTATTTACAGGAACATGTAGACGAACCAATGCAAAAGATAGAAAGAGAAATTATAGACTCTGCTCATGAAGATCATATATATGCCAGTAAAATGAAAAGACCGTACTCACTAAAATCGTTTACGCTCTATATAGCTAATGTTATGAACCCAAAACCAGACCCTCCCGAGCAATATTGGTCACTCGAAGCACTGCTTGTGCACTTAAAGGAGAGAGTTTTGATTGACAGAAGTGCTCCCAAGAACTGAGCTCTGAATGTTCAGATATTGCAGGTGTTAAATCGTGTGACTTCTCATATACAGTTTGCAGCTCCAAAAGGAGGGTTCGAGCAGCCTCCCTGGATTCAGGAAGTTGGTCACTGAGCTGTGATGCAGCAACTAGGATCAATTTGTCAATCCCATATGATTTAATTCCCTCAACACCCTGTCATTACAAATATAAGTAAAATTATCAAGGGGGTAATGTTGGAACATGTGCAGATAAAAGCAACCAACATAAATACAGCCTAATTTAGTCAATCCACCACAAGTACAAATTATTAATTCACAAGCAAGTTACCATATGCATTGACAACATGAGAAATATATATATAACAAATAGGGAAATAAGAAATGAATCGGGAAAGGCAGGCAGGACAATGAAGCATTCAATTGGTTTTACCCTTTCTTTAATTCCGAAAACAAGGCTAAATAAGAAAAGGAGAGGGATTCTAATAAACCTGAATGATCAAATTGACAAGCAATGATTCCATCAAAATTCAGTTTCCTACCAGTCGTGGTACACTACGAGAGAAGCACATTGACGCCTTAGCTCGAATTCGAGGATTCCTGTTCTTAAGATACGGCTCTAACTTTGGTAACAACAATGTAGGAGAAATCCATGTCGTCATTGCCACCAAAGCTCTCTCAGCAGCCTCACATACAAATCGTTTGTCTTGTGAAGCCTTGAGAAGAAGCTGTACAAGCTGCAACCATGAAATTTCACTACGTTTAGACAAAATACACATCCGTCACATGTGAGACAAAAACAATGAACTAAAGAACTGGCTAAACAAATGAGGTACAAACTATAATGGAAATAAAGTACCAGCGGGTCCAGTGAATCAATTAAGTGATCATTATAAGCACTGAATATGTCAGCAGAAGTCATAATGGCAGTTTTACATAGAGCACTTCTTGGATTCTTCAATGCCTTCACAATGAGTGGTATCACTTCCCCCCTATTTATTGAAAAGAATTACAAGAGTTGTAATTGTTGCTTGAAGAAAAGAGGGATGAATTTAATTGAACCAAAATCTAAAGGATCATCAAGCTAAAATTTGGGACTTACAGCATATCCAGCAATGCTTCCTTGTGGAATATGGATAATCGACGTGTATTGTTGAGTGATTCACAAACCAGAACCCAGTCCTTAGAGTCTAGGCCAGCCATGAGTGTCTAATCATGGAACAACAAAAAATACATAAAACAGAAAATGCAAGGCTCCAGTGGCTTTAAAATCTAAACTACATGACATTTGGAATGACAGATCCAATATACCTTTACACTGGTCTCAACATCCTCTACATCACTCAAGTTCTCAGATTCAATATACTCGACCTCTGAGTTAGCTACCTCTGCCCCAGGATTCACAGTTTCATCTCCATTAACAGTGGTTGAAACCAATGAGGAAGGGTTTTTTCTCCGACTCTTTTCTACATTTTCATCAGTGTTCTCACAGTAAGGTTTGGTAAAACTCCCTTTACTAGAGCTTTCATTTTTCCTCTCAGATCCAGGTAGTGCATTTAGGTCTCTGAGAGCAGTGCCCGACATCACTGCAGTGACAAAAAATCCTGAAACGAAAAGAAAGTGCTCCAATATTTAAATTGGCCAATATATCTGCAGTAATATATCCATTAAACATAACTATTAACAAAATAAAGTGATTAAATCAAAATTTCAACATCAGAAATGTAAATTTCCCAAATAAAAAAACAGTAGAAATATACCCAAGAAAAACAGTCCTCTTTCAGTCATTATCCTGTTTGTGCAGCAATATGGCAACAAATAGTTCAAGAACTACTGGTCCCATAGACCAATGCAATGATCCGGGGTTTAAAATCTCATCTAGCAACTATTTAGCCAAAGTCTCGCACTTAGATACAACAATAAAAACAATTTTTTTCTTAACTCCAATTACCACACTTCTCTCTTCTACTCTTATTAGCTAAAAACTAGAAGTTCAGGGCAAGTTTCCTTAAATCCATTCTCAATGAATAAAACACCCATAATCATATTTTTTTTCCATTTCAAATCAAGCACCTTCGGATCAATAACAAAGCAATGCAAATATTACAATAAGTATACAGACGTAGATCAAAATCAAGAAAAGCCAGTGAGGATATTATCGAACTCCAAGCATGATTATCTACAAATTGAAAGCCATAAACAAGACCTGCCCTAATAATTGCTTTTCTTAATTATTGTAAAAATTTCAAAAATGATAACCTTATGCTAAAAATCGAAGTGAACTAAGAATCAACTTAAAAATTAGCAAGTGTAGCTCAATTAATATAAGAAAAGCACTTCAGGAAACAAAGAAAACCTAACCAAACAAGGATCTAAATCTCCTCTCCTTAATCCATTTCAAAAACAATAAAAATAAAACAAAATGCAACAAAATGCAGATACCAAAAACTCATTGAACAGCTAGATCTCGCCATTATCTTGCTCAAAGATCAAATATCGAAGTTGAAATCACACATCTGTACAAATAGATGAGAAAGACAAAGAAAGCAGAAAGAGATTGAGAGAGAGAGTGTGTGTACCAAAGAGAAAGAGAGAGAGACAAAACAAGTAATCGATGAAGAAGCGAAGCTTTTTCCGTACTCTATAGTCTTCTCTGTATATGACAGTGTGTGAAAATGGAGAGACTTATAGGATTTTTAGAGAGAGAAAGTAGAGAGAGAGTGTGATAGATTTGGATTTTGAAGTAACTGGCGAGACTTTTACAGTCAAATAAGACGACGTCGCTGCACAGATTCGCTGCGAGAGAGATATAAATTCCCGACCTAGGCCGGCGAGCACGGGATACAAACACGTGATTGACCGTCCCTGATGTTTTTCTTGGATCTATGCAAATAACCCTTGGATTTTTAGTTAATAACGAAACAGCCACTCCTTATATGTTTTATCTTTGAAATGACGCTGCAGCGCGTAGAAAATGAGAGGTTTGAATTTGTAATTTAAACTTCAAAGACCGAAGGTGTAATTTATTTTATCAACGAAGCAATTAAGCTGCAATTATTGATAATGATGATTGTAATAATCATGACAATTGATCACAATTAATTCAAAACCATATAGAATTGTGTATATATTGTCTTAATTTGTCTACATCTGTATATGTATGCACTTTCTATTGATAGAAATAAGACTTTTCCTAATGTAATACGATATATACATGATGTTATTCGTTTTCCTAATTTTTTAATTATTTTGTAATTTAAACATTGATGGTACTAGTATAGAATAATTTCATTATGCAACGCGAGGGTATAATGAGTTGGAGATATTATTCTTTTATTTCAAAATATAAGTTGTTTAAGATTTTTGACCGAGAATTAAGAAAGCAGTTAATTCTTGTAAATTTTAACAAAACCAAGAGTAATTTGATCAAATTATTATTTTCCGCAAAACTAAGTTTATCTACCTATCAATATTATATATAAATGTGGAAATATGAGGGAATAATGAGATTTTTAGTAGCACCCTTGATGAAATTTAGGATATTCTAAAATAATCTTGGTCATAGCCAATTAAAAAATTACATTTTATTAGTTGATTGAATATATTTATAAGAATTATTTTTTAAGCCAATCATATGTGATCTGATTGTCTTTTTACTTATGTGAAGAGTGAGAGGTCTCGAGTTCGAATCCTCTCAACCACAAATATTTTAATCAATTTGGTGAGTTGAGGGTTATTCATTGTTTTTAATCAATTTGGTGAGTTGAGGGTTATTTATTGTTATATAGTCCGTAGTATTATTTTAGCCAATCAGGCCTCCTAATGAATAAAAAATTATTTTTGGTGAGTTTGAGGGTTATTTATTGTTATCATAGTCCGTAGTATTATTTTAGCCAATCAGACCTCCTATGAATAAAAATTATTTTTTAAATAAATATATATATAATTAAGCATTTTAAAATTTTAAGTTTTAGCTTTATTAAATTTATTTTTAAATAAATAAATATGATAATGAGTCATTTGAAAACTGTTTTATATTTTATTAATTAAATATTTAATTCTTTTAGGATATAGATAAAAAAAAGAAAGAAAATATATTTTTTTTATTAATATTATTTTTTTCGTTTGTATGATTTGATTGAATATTTTTAAAAAAATAAAATTTTCAAATAGAATATATAATATTTTATTTAGGGGATAGATAAAAAAATAAGAAAAAATTATATTATTTTTATTAATATTTTTTTTATGCTTGTAAGATTTGGTTGGATATATTTTTTAAAAAGTAAATTTCTAAATAGAATTTACATAATTAAATCTGAAGGCGTAAACAATTGAAAATTTCAATTTAAAAAAATATATAATATTTTATTGATATATCTATATCTATATACATTGAAACGTGTATTTTTTTTTTTTTTTTTTTAGGTGAGGTTTTTGGAAAGAGTTTTTAAATGTAAATAATAATTTTATGTTTTTTTGGTTGCTGAATAATTGTAAAACGACTATCATTTTAATTTAGTAAGAGAATTATATCTTCGTTACAATAAATAGATGACCTTTGATAATTAGCATTTTATTTTCTTGATATTTTTTTTCTTGATATTTTTTCTCTTCTATTTTAAATCTGTTTGACTTAAAAGAAAATAATGTTTAGAAAACTGAAAAAAAAAATTAGAACTATATATTTTTGTTCGGAACACTTTTTGAGGTTTTAAGAAATTGTGTGTATGTACATATATTCCTTTATCTGATACACTGGATAAATAATACTATGACTATAGCCAGAGTGATTTTCATTATCAATTCAATAGTAAAAAATAATTTATTATTATTTTTCATTATATAAATATTAATTTGGGTTGAGAGCAGAGGGTTCGAGATTTAATGATGGCTTGATTTGTTGACTAAAGGATTATGTTTAGGGATTAATTTGAACTTTATTTTAAGACTACTTCATTATATATAAATAGAATTAAGTACATAAGAAGTAGCATTACAAGTAATTTTTACGACAAAGTGTAATATAAATTAACCATTTGTATTTATTTTAATCTAAATAAAATTTATATTTTAATATTATATATATAGATATTATATAGATAAAAAAATGAGTATATAACCAGTAAAGTCAACGTAGAATGTCATAAAAAATTTTAGTAATTTATAAATGTAGTTATTTATATCTAATATAAATAAGGATAATATTGAAAAAATATCATTTATTATTTATTGAAATATTTAAAACGTCTCATATTTTGAGACAAAATAATCACCCAATATTTTGGGACCGAGAAAGTACAAAAGAGGTGGTTTTTTCAGTTAATAGTTTGCATACTCTCATGGCAGAAACCACTCAAATCAAAATCAGCTAGTTTTCAAAATCAAAAAATTTATATCAGTTTATTGATTTAAAGTTATGCGTCCTTCTATTTTGATGACTAATAAAATAATAAATTGAATTTATTCTCATGCGTATTTGCACTAAGTCTTTATGCAGGAAGTTCAAAATGGATCAAATTACATTGAAGAATCAAATTATTCCAATTGAAGATTAAGAATAAAGACATATTTAAAGAATTGAAGACTTATTGATTAGTGATTTAGAATTGTAGGATTCACATATTAATGTTAAAATAGAAAGAAAGATTAGGTCAAAATTAAGCTTACATTATTTTTATCTTTCTTTTAGTTTTTCAAAAATAATATACAAAAGATTTTATTTTTCATAAAATAATATCTTGACAAATTTAGAGGGAAAATATCTCATAAATCCTATTTTCTAATTTTAAAACATATGGCTTTGTGATCTAAAAAGATTTTTAATGGGAATTATAAAATTCAAATGACTGCCTTGTTGTAATTTTTATTTATTTACCTATTCGGAAAAACTTATCTAAACCGTATCTATGACTTTATTTATGAACTAAATCAATAAAATTAAAAAATTTTATTGAAACAAGAGTATTTCTGACTATATATTTAAAAAAAAAAATAAAATCAAAACACTTTTTAATTTCATTGGTTTGATCCATAAGTGAAGTTATGGATCCAGTTCATATATTTTAGATAAGAGTCCAAAAGTCCCATCTCTTCCCTCTTATTTCTGCCACCATTTTTCGTCTTTTGGTTCTTTGTTTCTAACGTTAACTTTCATCTCTCTAAAGGGAAGAAATGTGTTTCGTTTTATAAATATTGGCTTGATAGAAACATTATTTTTATGAGAGATATTAATTACTTGTTGGTAAGTTTTCAAAATTTAAATTCTCTCATCTTTCTTTTTCTTCGTACTTCTCTGTGTAACATCTAAGAGAGGAGAAAATCAATTCTTTAAAGAAAAGTTTTCAAAATCAAAACTTGATTTCATCTTTTAAAACTTTTGTCTAAAGCTTAACTATGGCATATCTATCTATTTATTATTGGTTTGTGAAATCTAGAGAATATATAAGTTTTTAAAACTCGAATCTTGTGATTTAAAAGCTTTATAAAAACTTGTGTAGGGGTTTCAAACACCCATCTTGTGTAAGAAGAAGTCTTCTAAGTTTGCTAATTTTTTGGAAAAACCAGTAAACTTTTCTAGTTCTTTAGAAAAACTAGACGTTAAGTTTTCCAGTTCTTTGTAAAAACTAGTGACGTTTAAGTTTTTTGGTTCTTTGCAAAAATTATAGGATAAGTTTATAAGTACTTTAAAAAAAGAATTGTGGGTTGTGGTTAGTGTTAAGAATTAATCTCAAATAATTCCACAATAACCTAGATCGTGCAAATCACTAGATTCAACTAAATAGATTGAATAAGAAAAGGTTGCGTACAATAGATTGAATAAGAAAGGTGCGTACCTGACATCGTTGTTCGCGATCTCGATGTGTAGAATTAGGTTTGCAGCCTTCCAGAGAATTGAAGAATCGATTTTGCGGAAGCAGTACGAAAGGAAGGCGTAAAACTGAATCGTATTCAACTCCTCTGGGGACCGACCCGGGACCCCTTTAAAAATAATACCTGGTTTAAAGGTTTTTTTTTTAGTAACAATTTAGTACAATTCCTATTTCGGTCCTTTAAAGAAATAGGAATTATATAATGGTCTCTACACTTAATATCTATAATTAGTTGATACCTCAATAGTCAATTATTCACAATCAAGACCGCATTTAAAATTGACTTTATAATTAGACTGCTGTACATATTTAATTTTACATATTAAGCCCACAATAGAAAATTAAATCCAACAATCTCCCACTTGGGATGTTAAATAAAATACATACACCAAAATGAGCTCAACAAACGCAGTCATACGAGGTATCCAAAAACAATCTCGTCCATTAATTATATTGATAAAGAGCTGAAGAAACATTCGCCATAGATCTTATGACTAAGTTCATCATCAACTACCTTACCAATACCCCTAAATGACACAGATTCATTATAGAAGTGTAGGATGAAAACTAAATGTAATGTGATCATCATGTTTGTTTCCAACTGGTCACCAACAAAAGTGAGATCAAGCAAAACAATAATAATACAGAGTGTAACCATCAACCAAAATGAGTACTCAATAAAATTTCATCAACATAATAAAACATATCCAAAACAAAATAGAGCATTCAAAAACATAGCATTCAAAACCATAATGTATACATAAAGAGCAGACTCCCACTAAAACTAGACAGTCTCAAACAAAACGATACCCATATGAGCGGTGTGCTCATGGAAAACTTTCGGTATCACTGCCTTTGCAAGCGGATCCGCAATCATAGAGTTTGTTCCAATATGCTCTAAGGATATCTGTCCAC